ATACTTGGTGAACAAAGAGTATCAGAGTATTCATAAAATGATTGTCGATTACAACAAGGTTCTAGAAATTGAAGCAATAGAGCTAGAAAAATCATCTTCAGCAAGCAATGGCACAACAATTGAGCAAAACAATCAGATAAATGATTCAAACATTCGGAAACTACTCCGAAATCAGAAGGCACTCATACGTGTAATTGAAAGAACGATAGAAGGAATCATGGTCAACAGGCAAGTTGAACAACCATCTACATACTATTCTATAAAGGCAGCCAGTCTTGAAGGATATATGGTCGATTTAACGGCAAATAACACAACGTTATGGGAAGCTACCGACGAAAGCATCATTGAGGACTACACACTGGAAATGTTTTATGAACTCGAGGAAAAGGCAGGAGCTGCCATGATCGAACTACAGCAACATTTGCATAATAATCAGACAATTCGCAACTCAAGACAGACAGATTGCGAATTGCCTCTACCAAGAATATCACTACCAAAATTTGATGGAAACTATATGCGGTGGGTGGAATTCAAGGACTTGTATATGGAATTGGTCCACAACACGGACATCAGTGACAGCAAAAAAATGCATTATCTGACTACATCATTGGATAACGAGCCAAAGGGGCTAATTAGACATCTTCCAGTAGTAGGAGAAAATTACAATATAGCCTGGACTTTACTTACAAGTCGTTATGAAAATAAACGACTTCTGGTTACAACACTCCTAAATAAATTAATGGGACAATCCTCCATTAAAAGGGAGTCGGCACCAGCATTAAAATCTCTACACGATGTAAGCAAGGAATGCATACATGGTCTCAAGGCTCAAGGAGTTCCAGTCGAACATTGGGATATTATCCTGGTACATCTATTGCTGCGCAAGCTGGATGCAGAAACTCTAACAGCTTTCGAACAAGGGCTATCAGACAACAAACGTTTAATAACCATTGATGAATTGCTAAAATTTTTGGAACATAGATTTCAATCACTTGAGGCTAGGGGAAAAGGAGAATCATCATTCACTCGAACATGTGCTTCAGCTACAAAATTTGGTTTAAGTAAAACCTGTCCAATTTGCAATAAAGACGGTCACATGGTCTACGCTTGCAAAAAATTCGAGACGGCTAATCTATCACAACGATGGAATTGGGTTAAGGAGTTCAATTTGTGTGTGAACTGCCTCAGGATTGGTCATCGAGCTGATGAGTGTAAATCCAGGCACTGCACTAAGTGTTCTAAAAAACATAACACTTTGATGCATAATCCAAAGGGGAATCAATACACAAAAGGTACTGTTCTTCAAGGAAATAACTCAACGCCTCAACAAACAGGTCAAGCTTCAGTTTCAAACCAATCATCAAATAAAATAACCCTTTTAACAAACAATACCAATAAGGAATCTAATTATGTCTTATTAGGGACGGCCAGAATAAGATTGCTGGCATCAAATGGAAGACAAATTGAATGCAGAGCAGTATTGGACTCTGGCTCTCAAATCAATCTCATAACAAACCGCCTGTCAAAAAAATTGGGCTGCAAGCCTAGGCCAACGCTTATGAGTATGGAAGGCGTAGGCGCAAATGAATCAAAAATACGTCATCAAACAATAATTCGAGTACAATCAACGTTGAACGAATTTGTAGCAGAGATGGATGCACATATCATACCAAAAATCGTTTCAGATCAGCCAATGCAGTATTTGAATATCGAATCCTGGGATATTCCAAAGGAATTAACTCTCGCTGATCCAGATTTTAACAAACCTGGCCGAATAGATTGCCTGTTAGGAGCAGAGATCTTTTTCAAGTTACTTATTGAAGGTCAAATAAAACTAGCAGGTAGTCTTCCAACACTTCAGAATTCTATTTTTGGATGGGTTGTAGCTGGCAATGTTGAAACTTTAATTTCAAGCACGGCAACTTGTGGCATATGCACTACTAAGGAACTAGAAGAATCTATATTGAAATTCTGGGAATCAGAAGAAATTCCAGATTCAACTTCGGAACTCACAGAAGACGAATTGCGTTGTGAGTCACATTTTTTGCAACACACTTTTCGAGGAAGTGATGGCAGATTTGTTGTAAAACTCCCACTAAAGAATCATCCATCAGTGTTACCAGATACAAAAGGAATCGCTTACGAGAGGTTCAAGACAATCGAGCGCCGTTTCATTCAAAATCCTGATCTAAAGAATCAATATGTTTCATTTATGAGGGAATATGAAGCATTGGGACACATGACAAAATTCAGCGGTAGCGAAATAGTATCTCCCCAATATTTCATCCCTCACCACTGTGTGCTACGTCCAGACAGCTCAACATCAAAACTGCGAGTTGTATTTGACGCATCAGTACACAAATTATCAGGGCCATCACTAAATGACATAATGTTTAATGGTCCAAAAGTTCAAGACGAACTGTTTTCGATTTTGCTCAGATTTAGAATGCACAAATATGTTTTAAAAACTGATGTGGAAAAAATGTACCGTCAAATATGGGTTAACAAAGATGATCGAAATCTGCAACTCATAATGTGGCGAGAAAATCCCACAGAACCACTTAATTATTATCAGTTGAACACAGTTACTTATGGCACAAGAGCAGCACCATATTTAGCAACACGCTGTCTAACAAAATTGGCGGATGAATATCAAGGAAATTATTTACATATATGGCGCCACATCTTTAAAAAGGGATTTTTATGTTGACGACGGTCTAATAGGAGCTGATACCATCAACGAAGCGTTACTAATTCAACAACAATTAATAACAATTCTAGACAAGGCTGGAATGAAACTAAAAAAATGGTGTGCAAACAACCCAAAACTTTTACATGGAATCGCTACAGAAGATCAAGAAGTAAATCTCAATTTTGATTCCAAGGAAACCCAATTCACAAAGACGCTGGGTCTTTTATGGTTACCAAAGTCAGATTCATTTCGTATCAAGGTTAACAGTCGAGACCATAGTCACACAACAAAACGATCTATGAGCTCCGATTTGGCACACATATATGACCCTTTGGGTCTTATTGGTCCAATCTTGGTCACCGGTAAAATCTTGTTGCAAGGAGCATGGCAGCTAAAACTCGATTGGGATGATGATCTTCCGTCAGAAATACGTAAACAATGGACATCGTATAGAGAAGATCTGGCCTTGTTGGACAATGCAACAGTTGTGAGGCACGTATTCAGCAGTCAAGGCTACAGCCATGTTGAGCTGCACGCTTTTTGTGACGCCTCAGAAAAGGCTTATGGTGCAGCAGTATACATTAGAACAGTACAAAAGGATAAAACGATAAAACTTAATCTACTATGCTCCAGATCTCGTGTAGCACCCATAAAATCTCAAACAATTCCACGACTAGAATTGTGTGCAGCGTTGCTAGCAGCAGAACCCATGGCAAGAGTTAAACTTGATCTAGGCTATCAAGACAAGGCAACTTACTTTTGGACAGATTCACAAATTGTGCTTTCCTGGATAAACAATCATCCAGGCAAATTACCCGTTTACGTCGCCCACCGAATTGTAAAAATACTTCGGTTAACAATTCCAGAACAATGGCGTCACGTCCCGTCAAAACAAAATCCGGCAGATATTCTGTCAAGAGGGCTTAAACCACGGAAATTTTCATCTTGCTACATGTGGTTATATGGTCCACTATTTTTATATCAGCCAAAGCCGCTGTGGCCAGCTCCCTTCAAAAGGGAATTAATTGTTGAAGATAACACGGTGGTGCTTGCTTTATCAACACAACAACCTACTAATGAGCATACATGGGTCTACTCGATTCATTCAAGAAATTTATTTACACATGTCCAAAAGGTTGTTGGATATGTACTTCGTTTCACAAAAAACGCACGGAAACCAAAAGAATCAAGACCAGAGACCATGCAGCTTTCACCGATGGAGCTCGACGTAGCACTTAAGATAATAATACGTCAAATCCAGGCCTCCGATTTTTCTGATCTAAGGAAAATGCTAGTTAAGGACGAATTTGTGCCAAAAACTCATAACCTCAGTTCACTAACTCCGTTCGTAGATGAAGAAGGGGTAATACGTGTTGGCGGACGGCTAAGCTCTTCAAAACTACAATTTGATGCCATTCATCAAATGATTTTACCCAGCAACGATCCACTAGTAAAGTTGCTGGTAGAAAAAATACATAAGGACAATTATCATTGTGGCGCCCAAGCATTGCTGGCACAAGTGAGGCAGCGTTTTTGGCCCCTCAAAGGAAAAAGCTTGATGAGAGCTGTAATACAACAATGCTTAAGATGCAGAAGAGCAAGGCCAATTGTGTACAATCAAATCATGGGAAATTTGCCTGGACACCGTGTGCAACCAGCTCGACCATTTCTCAGCACTGGAGTTGATTATTGTGGCCCAATATGGGTTCATTACAAAACAAGAGGCAAGCGTCCACAAAAGGCGTATATCGCTGTCTTTTGCTGTTTTGCAACCAAGGCCGTACACTTAGAACTTGTGACTGATCTGACCACAGATGCATTCATTGGAGCATTAAAACGCTTCATAGCAAGACGAGGACGCTGTAAAACGTTATACTGCGACAATGCGACCAATTTCGTTGGAGCGAAAAACAAGTTGCAGGAACTTACTGACGTCATCTACGCTGATCGAGCGAAGGAATCAATTGCAGGAATGTGCAGTACGAAAGGCATAGAATTTCACTTCATTCCACCAAGGTCACCACACTTCGGCGGGCTATGGGAGGCAGCAGTAAAATCTGCCAAATATTTGCTGGTCAAAAATGTTTCAACAGCATCACTTACATATGAAGAGCTTGAAACTGTCGTTATTGAAGTTGAAGCAGTGTTGAACTCGCGACCCCTTATTCCTAGCTCATCAGATGCAAACGATTTGAACGCAATAACTCCAGGTCATTTTTTAATAGGTGAAGAAATCACTTCAAGCGTTGATGTGCATGCACGTGACTCTAAAGAAAAATTACTTAAACGCTGGCAACTGGTATCAGAGCTAAAACACAGTTTTTGGCAGCGCTGGACTAAGGAGTATCTAAGCGAATAGCAACAGCGCCACAAGTGGAAGGGTCCCATCACCAACATACAGACCAATACGATGGTAATCCTTAAAGAAGACAATGTCCCAGTTCTGCAATGGCCTTTAGGACGCATCATCAAAGTTTACAAAGGCGAAGATGGTTTAGTGAGAGTTTGTGACATTCAAACAAAAAAGGGGGTATTTAAAAGACCGGTGCATAGATTAGCTCCATTATTTCCTGAAGACGATAAATTAGAAGATCCAACCTTTGGAAAAATGACTGAAAGAAAAATCGAATCAGAACAGACTCAAGAAACTCCAACGTCACCTCCCGTGTCGCTTATCGTAAAAATTCCATTAAATCGCATCAGAAAGCCTGAATCATTAGTCAATGGGTTAACTCCGACAAAACGATCATGTCTGAATTCCGGGTTGCTGCTCACCATTATTACTCTACTCATTTTGCCACTTGCACTATGTAGTCCCGTCAATATAACAACCTTCAACAACAAACCTGGCATTTATTTTGAGCAGCTTAAACCAGTCAAAATCATGTCTGCTGATTGGAAAATGATTGTATATTTTGACCTTTCCCCATACCAACAACAAATGAGCATTTTAGCTGATGGAACAAAAAGGTTGAACAATTTATGCGACAAGGCATTGGATAACACTGCTTGCAAGGTATTACTCAACTATTTTGACCGTATAACGGAGGAACTGCAAATGGAACTTAATCTTCTTTCTGTTAGAAAAAGAATAACAAGAGGAGCTATAGACATTGTCGGAAATTTTGCAAATTCATTGTTTGGTGTCCTCGACTCAAACTACGCGGCACAAATGTCAAGCACAATAAATGGTCTTAAAAGGAACGACAATCACCTGGAACAACTCGTTAAAAACCAAACGTCACTTGTTGATTCAACTATCAATATCTTTAAGAAGAACCAATTAAACATGCATGACAAATTTGAAGAAATTGAAAAGCGCATCAATAACTTGTTGTATACAGATGAGTCAATAAACGACATACACGTAACACAAAACATGCTTATGTTGTCAATGCAAATGCTCATGATGGTATCCAACCTGCAAAGAGTTCACTCATCAATTATGGACGTACTAATCGACAGTCATCACGATAAAATAAATCCTCTTCTGCTGACTCCACAACAGCTTAGTGAGCAAATAATGATGATTAGGGCACATCTTCCATCACACCTACAGTTACCTATCCACCACAATAACTTACTCGAAGTATATAGGCTCATGAAGATCAACGGAATCCTGGCAAAGGGCCATGTCATTTTTTGCATCGACTTACCTCTCACGGATCCAAGAGAATTTCAACTGTTATATCTTGTTCCAATTGTGGCAGCTATAAATAACACACTTTTATCAGTGAAACTTTCAACAGAATTTCTAGCCATCAGTCCGCATCATGATGAATTTCGACCAATGACACAGCATCAAGTGGACGCATGCATATCGATAAGTGACGAAGAGTTATTATGTCCAAACATACAAGCAACATTTCATGAATCGGCAAACGTCAATAATTGTGAAATTGACTTATTTAACAATCAAGCTAAACCAAGATGCGATATGTATCAGCTCAAGGACACAACTGTATGGTATCAACTAAATCATCCGAATCAATGGATTTACGCAACCATAAATAATATCAAAATGAATGCAGTATGCAACAAGAAAGCATTTCAATTAACTTTAGTGGGCAGTGGTTTGATTAAATTAGAACCTGAATGCATCATCAAAAATGAACACATTACGATTCAAGGTCATCAAAAAATGGTTACTTCAATGCAGGCATCGATCACCAGATTGAACCTATCTGTAGGATGGACAAAACAATATGCGAGCAATAACATCAGCGTCAAACCATTGTCACCCACAATCCATGAGCTTGAACTTATTCAACGAAAATTAGGCCACATCCAGAGTTCCAGTTTTCCAACTGATGCTATTAGTCCAGGGACACATAGTCTAATAACCAGCTACGTTGCATTAGCAATGTTTCTATGTGTCGCTAGTGCACTATTATATATATGGCGAAGGCAAAAAATCACCTATCAAACACCTCCAATACCGATGCCACGACATCAGCAGATGACCGAGGATACAGCATGTTGACTTGCAGCTTCCAATAATTAGAATTGATGTTGTCAATTCAAGGCGGGCAGCATGTTCACACATTATTATTATTGTAAAATATTATTATTATTACTATTGTTATTATTGTACAATATTTGTAAAATTTGAACATATATGCTGATGTTAGCAATATCCAAATTTTGACTTTCCTTTGCATTATTTAATTTGGTAAAATGCAGTGGCACTGAACTTGAATATTTGCATTATATTTTTTGTTAAGTGCAGTGGCACTGAACTTTGAATATGTAACATATATCAAGGCCAGTGCATTGGCATTAATTCTTGGTTGCTAGACACAACAAAGAATTTGGTTGCATAATATATGCTGAGCTTGCACTTTAGGCAAGAAGACGGTAAAGGAAAAGAATAAAATTTAGATATTGTTATTGTAATAATTTGTAATAATTTAGTATTTAAGGAAAAATTTAATTTAATAAAATTCAGATTGAAACCAATATTCGATCTATCATTTTCATTTTCCAGAGTTTCAGTTCAAGTGCTGAAAACTCAACCTTCAATTAAAGAGTTACAGTTTAAGTGCTGTGAACTCAATATCTTAGATGTTAATACATTAATACTTTAAAATTTTAAGTATTCATAAAATTATTAATAAGTAGAATACTGAAATTAATATTAACAATAATTTCATGTTCCTTCGTGCCAAACATAAGCAAGCGCAAATTGCATATGGATTACATTATATTTTGCAGCACCTTGACTGGGATGCATAACCGAACCCACGCATGCAGAGCAGACTTAACGTCTTCATAAAAGACAAAAACAAAATGTTGCAAACATCTTAACGAAATGAACAAAATGACAAGCAATGCCAGCAAACCCAATCCTTAATGCCAAGCCATGCAATCGAGTGCAGAGCAAGGCAAGGTGGCAGCCACTGCGACATCATTAGAATTCCAGTATGACTTTGGCAAAAGCCAACAACAGGAATGATGATTAATTCAAAGTTATTAGAAACATGACTGAAATTTATAATGTAACACCCAGAACCACAGATACGCGCAGACTTACACAGACGCACACCGACAAGCCAACACTCGCGTACTCTGACTGGCAAATAATTTAAATGTACAGTACGGAGTAATGCCGCTCATACTGCCGTTGCTGTGCTGGTCCTTTTGTGTGAGCGACAAACTGCAACGGTGTCGCATTGTGGGCGTCATTTGTCTATCTTTGTCCACAACCGGAGTGTTGATAACTTAAATAATCAAAATAATAATAATAATGAACCTAATGCCTACACACAATAAACTCGGAAGGACTGTAAAGGATATGAGTGGCAACACAGCTTAAAATTTGTCAAGAAAAACTTTTTGTGACTATTTGTTATGATTTATTTTGATTGTTGAAGTTTGTAAAAAGTCGATCATTGGAGTGTGAAATTTGAATTTGTCGGCAGAAAAAAAATATTCTTTGTATTGATAAATGGAATTTTAAGCAGTTTTAAAACTAATATGACATTCATAATTACTACAGCATGTATTTGAAATATTTTTAAGTGAAAAAGACAGAACTCTTAATATCCTACCATGCCGTTACTTATTTTCCTAACGAGCGGAATATGATCTAACTTAGTACAGTACTAATGCCACAGCCTCTACCATACCGAAATCATGCCTGATGTAATGACATTTTCTTCTCGAACTGATTCCGTCAAGTCTATATTTGTTAATTTAACTTATCCAGAGAAAAAGTAGAGATAAAAATGTATAGCCTCTGTTTTTATTCGATTCGTAACGATGAAATGCATGATATTATTGTAATGTGTTTTGAAATAGGGAACTTTATTAGACCTACATCTTCTGTTGGACTCTAGTATACTACTGTCTAGATA